TCCAAAACATTCAAAATTATTTTGAACATCCACACAAATGCTACATACTTACTGTTAGGGGAAATCATGCCCCTCCCTCCATTCATATGTTGAAACTCTAACCCTGGTACCTCAGAATATGGCTATACTCGGAAATGGAGACTTTTTAAGAGATCATTAAGTTACAACAGGTCATTATTCATTATGATGGTTTCTAACCCATGTCTGGTGTCCCTGTAAGGAGAGGAGATTAGGACACAAGAGAGATTCTGGGATGGGGGAGAAGGTGACCATCTCCAAGCCAAGGAGAGAGGATTTAAGAGAAACAAAATCTAAGGACACCTTGGGCTTCCATCCTCCAGGAAATAAATTTCTGTTATTTCTAACACCTAATCTGAGATATTTTGTTATGACAGTCTTAGCAAACTAATAAACTTATCCTGTTTGTAGAAAAAGCAATCCAAATATCCATCTGCAGGAAAATGTATTTTTAAATGTAGTATATTAAAATCATACATAACATAATATTACACTGGAGTAAGCAATTATATATTATAATTGCACTGGAACTGCAATTATATTAACTCACACTCCTTCAAACATAGCATTAATTAAGTGAGTACTACAGATGCATGTTTTGACCAAGATGACCTTAATTTTTCTCTTCAGCTGACTACACTTGAGATTTATTCCTGACTACAGGATCTGGACCTCCCTTTTTATAGTGTTTATTTTAGAAAACTTTTATTCCTAAATTTTTTTCTGGGCCCCTTTTAGAGGTCTGTCTTCCAGCCTCCTGCCAGCTTTATAACCCAGGAAAGGCTTTGTCATGGATCTGGGAGTCATTTCCTTTGAAATGTAATCATCAAGCCAAGCCCCTATCTCCCAGTCTCTGTGGGAGATGGTCTGAAATAAAGTCTTCTTATCTGTTTAACTTTTTTTCCCTTTGACAATGTGAAGTATAATACCATTTCTAAGAAACCTTAATCCAACAAAAGAAATGTGTAGCTCAGGGATTTGTATATATGTGATAAAACCATTAAAAACAAAACCTCTAAAGAATGAAAAGGACACATTTGGAAGGTGGTTTTCTTTGGGTCAGATCATTTACACAGTACTAGCGCTGTTCTATTTCTTAAATCATTTCAGAAGTTTTTAAATAATTTTATAATGACTCACAATGTATAAATTTAATCTATATTATTTCTATGTATGTTGTCTGTAATAAATGGAAAGAAACCAATAAAGTTAGGTCTACCTTTAAGAAATCATATCATATGCTAGAGAAAGGAATTAAACAGAAAAGCAAAACAAATAATAAACAATAATAATAATGAATAATAATTGAGAACAACCAAGTTGGGAGGGAGTTGGCTACACTGTTAGATTTTTCAACCATACAGAAAATTTGAAATGTATTTATAGTTGAAGTGGAATTTTCATCCTTTATAGATCAAATTCTAGTCTAATGACAGCAGCTGGACCCAGAATTGCAGCACAAAGCTATCGCCATAATCGGAACAGTTCTCATATACAAATTTTTCGTTCTTACAGTGTTCCAGGTATCTCTTGTACTCTTACTGTTTATAGAGTTAAAGAGCTGGGAAACCAAACTTCTGGAAGAGCAGGAGCCCAAGGCAGGGCCAGAATAATCAGCAGTAGCGATATATGAGCCTTGTCCTGAGATAAAACCTTTACTGTAACTCAGTGTGAGGGCACCTCATCCCCCTGCATTTCAATTATTTCAAGTTCCCGAAATGTAGAAGAGAATCTGATTCTTTGCCTGGAGCATGGACAAAGGCGGCTCCTGTGGGTTAGTCCACCAGTTTGAAAGAAAATGTCAACCTGGGATGATCTCCAGCAGTTGAAATGGCAGCCCAGATAACCCCCGCTGTCAGGGAAGGTAAATGTTTTTCTATTCAGAGAATCTGAATGGTTCTCTGACAAATATTTTAGGGGCTCTTTGCCTTCCTCTTGTGCTGTGTTTTCTCCACCAGATCTGGCACTCATCTCTTGAATGTCCAGAAGCGGGAAGAAAGATGAGAATCAGATTTTAGGGGTAGAATAGTAAGATTTTTAAACCTGTACTAGAGTGGAGTTTATTTTAATCTCTTAGTGTCTCCACTCCTTTTGATGAATGTGTGCCTCTAGGCAGACAAGAAGACTTGAATGTTAGATTCCAGTGCTCTGTCTCATAGGAATTTTGGAAGGTAGATAAGATTATAGAATAACCATCAATCAAAATTTATAAGATCTGGTATTGAGGAATTTTCTAATAATCTGTAGAGTAAGGCAAAGCTGACTGTAGATGAGGAAGAAATGAACTAATTTATCCAAATAATTGTTTTCTATTACCTTCAAAATAATAATTGTTTACATACTAATAACAAGCAAAGCACACATTTAGGAGATACATTCTGATAATTATGTGTAGTAAAAGTAGTAGGTCAAAAACTTAACTGAAGTTAAACATGTTACAAATAAAAAAAAGTGATTCAACTCTATTCATTTTTCTACCAAAAGTTTTAAGTTTTGTGTGTCAAACATAGATAACGAAAATGGTTTCAGCTAGAATTTGACAGTAGAGGCAAATATTTGCATAAACAAAAATGCTCTCAGAATTTAACTTGTAAAAGTAAACAAGAGGCATTGTAACCATGGCTAAACTTCATGGAAATAATTTTTTTATGTATTAGAGGAAATTGTCTCTTTATGATGTGTTATCTATATCCATTTAAGCAACACTTCTTTTTTTTTGTTTGTTTGTTGTTATACATGCACTGGGTACAGTCAGAAGTGCAGGAGGGTGAGCAGAGCAGGCAGAAGGACCAAAGTACACTGCTGGTCTGTGTGCCATGTGGGATTGGCCGGGGAGGCTTCGCATCAATTCAACACTTCTTTAGCTTTGGTTATATTCAGGCATAATTCCTGGTGTTGGGGATTTAAGAATTAGACAAAGTCTATGCCACCAAGTTATTCATTGCTTGAATTGAAATGACAGAAAAGTTCACAGCTATCATCATGTATTTTAGTCTGAGCTAGTTATGCAAAATCAATCACTAACGATGGGGTTTAGAGTAGTGAGAAATTCCCAGATAAGTGTGTCCCAGCTAAAACTTGGAAATGAATAGGAATAGAGATTTATCAGGTCGGTGGCAGAATGGATGGATGCCTCTAGGTGGATCAAAGATGACTGATTTTCATAACGAACCATCTATTCAGAAGATGCCTTAAGGTCATTTGTGAAACACAAAAGAAAAACAATTCAAGTTTTGAAAAGATACTTACATTAAGCTTCAGAAAATAAAAATAATAGTTAATCTCTGGAGCCTAGGAGAACTTGATCCTCAACTTGTACTGATCTTGAAACAGTCGGAAACTCAGCCATTCTTGGTTTATCTGTGTCCATACAATCTTATTTATTTGCTTACAAATTTAAGTAATATTCTTAGTGTTTCTATTTGTCCTACAAGCTCTAGACATTTTAATTCTTAGGAGTCACCAGTCTCAAGATTTCTAAGAAGCATGTAGGGCAGTTTTTAAATCCTCCAAAATTTTTAGAACATTCAAGAAAGGCAATAAAACACTAAATTGAATTTTCCAGCATCTTATAGATATTCATGTGTCAAAAGTAACCCTTTGTAGCCCAAGGTTATATGTCATAATTCCTCTGATTTCACTAAAGTTTATTACAGTGAAAAAAATACCCACATGGCTTTGCCTGTATATTCAGTTTACCAGCATCCAAGGAAGACAGATTTAGATATATTAAAATGTGGCTTCTGTTTTTTTTAATGATATGCAGTCACATAAAAAATAGTTTGCAGAACACTTTGTCCTACAAATTAGCTGTGAGGAAGTCTTTGACTTAAAATTCTTCTAGCTTGGGAACACTAGATTAGATATGAAAATAAATTAAATATATTATTAATTAATTCATTTGAAATAGTTGAACATTAATGATTGTTCCAACAGTGGAAACAGAGATGGAAAACTGTCAAATAATAGTGAGTTGCTCTGAATTCTGTCTGGCTTCCAGAAATTGAATTGGGAACAGATGTCTGCCCACATGGTGAAAATGCTCTTATTAGTAAATGTTTCTTTACATGAAGGACATGATCACAAAAATGATTCTGTAGTGGACCCCCAGTCAAGGGAAAGAAATATGAGATAGGCTGAAAGCTATGCCATTTTCTTCAAATTTCAGGATCAGAGTCAAGTAATTCTGAGCAATTTTTTTTCTAGGATACTTAGAGAAGAAAAACTTTGCAATTCACTCATAATTTGTTTTCTGTGAACATTTTGATGAACAACAAGGGATGGTTGATTAAAAGATTAGACACATAAAATAGGCTTAGATTTAATCCTCCTTAATTCAGTTTTAGACCCTACTATATTTACATTTGCTAGTTAGAGAGACCAAAACAGACTTTTAATTAAAAAATTTAAGGAAATAGTGGTTTAAAAAAATAGAAAGACTTATTTATAGTAAAATAAAATAAAACAGTTTACCTTATCTGGATGTTGATTATATGTGTAACCTTTGTTTTAATTCTAGTATTAGAACAGGTTAGTTTTGCTTACTCTACATGCTTCATCAAAATTTTCATGACAATTTGATATAAAAAATATTTGGTTAGGTACTTGGAGTTATCTTTCAAGAAGAATGAATATTTTTCTGAAATGCAGAAATACAAATGAGCGAGCATATGGCGTTGTGACATAGCTCCCTACACAATACCTCTATTTCCTTTTCAAAATTTATTCATCTATTCCCCATTTACATAGTCATTTAACTTCTTAGAAAACATGTTATCGCAAGTATTTTTTTTCAGAAAACACTTTTTACTTAGCCTTTACCTAGGTAAAACTCCCTGGATTGTTTTACTTAGAAATAAGAAACACTTATTTTAATATTTAAAAGAAAGTCTTTCTCAGAGTAAAGGGTGTTAGAAACTTTTTAAAAAATCATTTATTTTTTATTGATGTTACTTTGCATTGTAACATTCTATACATTTCAGGTGTTCATCACTGAGGATCAACATGTATACCATACTTTTGACACAGTTTTTTCTCTGCAAATCTTTTTTGATTTCATTGGAGAGCTGACTTGAGAGGGTAAGGTAAGTTTAGTAGTTACCAGCAGGGGGCAGCAGAGGCTATAGGATCTGAAAATCTGAAAGGAGCTCCACCAGCTAAGATGGGTGTAGTCTTGCAATCTTCCATTTTTGCTGTGTTGCGTCTCTAGGCTATGAGTACATAGGAGAGTAGTCCAGGGAATTTTGAATCATACTCTCTGTGGCAGTGGCTGGGGTATATGTAGTTTCCAAAAGCTACCAGTTATTCTCCTGCATACGAAGGGGTACTAAGAGAGTAGGCTAGGAAGGATCTTCAAGATGGACACCTACTTTCTCAAGGGGTCACCATACAGAACTGTGGAAAGACAAACCACGGATAGACTTTCTAGCAACTTCTTCTTTTTTTTTTGAAAGATTTATTTATTTATGCATACAAGAGCTGGGGCACAAGTCAGAGATGCGGGGAGTGAGAGGATCCACCAGAGAGACTGGGGAACAGAACAGGCAGATTGACTGAAATACATTGCTGAGGGCAGCCTTTCTAGCAACTTCTCTGCAGGTATTTGGTCTCATGTTATCTCATCATATGATAGGAAGAGCTTGAAATAGCCTGAATTATTTCCTGAGATCCCCAAAGGACTCATACGTACCCATGAAACTGAAGTTTAGACTTGGCTGCTGTATAAAGAAGACAAAGACCTTCTGAATCTGTCTTCTGCAATGGCTCTCTTATTACAGCTGCCCTATGCTTTAAACTTAAGTCAGTGGCTTTAGCCTTCACTTAAATGGCAAAATGTTTCCCTCTGTACTAAACTCTTAATATTTCCACTAAAGTCATCACTAGTTGTTAGAACACTTAGTCCCAATTTGGCTTAGATATGCAGATTTCTATTTGAGCTGGAGTTCCTTGCATATTAACTCTTATCATCATGCTGGATTCAGTGATGGGTAACTTTCTTTTCTTTTTCAAGTAAAACGTGGGTTTCCATTTCTATTTTAAAGCTGAATCTGCACTGGTCAAACAGGAGTTGAATTAAGACTTGGAATAACAAAAGGTAAATAAATGTAGACATTTTTGTGATTTTAGATAACATTTCTTACAAGGCAGGATTTACTTTCTGTGCTCACTACTTTAATTTTCCAAGATAGAGCCCAAGATGAGAGAACATGAGTACTGTATTCTTTTTTTTTTTAAAGAGAATTTATTTTCAGTATGCCACATTCTTCATTGACATTTTATTTATTTATTTTTAAAGATTTATTTATTCATGCATACAAGAGCTGGGACTCAGGCGTCGAGGTGAGAGGATTCACCAGAGACAGAGTGAGGAACAGAACAGGCAGATTGACTGAAATACACTGCTGAGCGGAGCATTGGGCGAGGCAGGAGAGGTCTGCTGTGCCATGTGGGTTGCTCCCTGGCTGGAGATTGAACTCATGCTGCAGTGGCTGTGGACAGCTTCATAGGCTGCATCCCAACCCCTGCACCACCAGGGAGGCCCTCTCTTTTTTTTTTGTTATCGATTGGTTCTTCTTCCAATTGTGTTCATAATATTTCAACTTCTTCTTCCAATTAGGTTAAAGGGAATGCATTCTAAATGTGTTGAGAAGCTTTTATAAGATTTTAACCATGCTCAATTTGTGTTTAAGAGAGAGGAATCTAACTGTTCTATGATGAACAGATGGCAAGAGGATAATAGCAAAAGCAGGATAAATTAGGAAACTAAATAATGATCTTGGAGAGATCTTGGCTACTTGGGTTATGAGAGTAGTGATGGAACTAGAGAGAGTAGAGCTCTCTAGAATGTACTTTGGAGATTATAAATGAACTGGGTTGATTTTTCCATAGAAAGGTGGGAAGGCGGAGAAGAGAGAGAAAGATTTGGAAAAGAAATGTTTGGAAATCTGTCTTGTTTTTCTTTCAGTGCCCTTGTAGAACTCCTTGCATCACCATTTGTCCTCATATCTTACTAAAGAAATCAGGTAGACTAAGACTAAACCAAAGTCGGAAAGGCTAGTAAATCTTAAAATTAAAAACACCAAGAGTACAAAGACAGGTAGATTTTCATTATTAAACACCTGTGTGTTTGAGGTAGTCATGGTGGATGATATTACTCTTGGAATATAAATTTAAAATTTCCTCACATTTAAGACTAAAATAAAAGACAAAATGTCTGTCTTATTGTATCCTATGTTGTAAGGGAATTAATGTGTTTTCTCTTACTCAAATATGTGTATGCAAAACATGATATATTCTGAAGAAAAAAACAAACATGTGACATCACGCTGTTTTATGGAGCGAAAGAAATGGGCACATGGAGTGGGGTGACATGTGCTATGTAGTGCTTGCCAGAGGCGCTGGGAAATCCCAAGTTGTTTCCACAAAGTGTGTTTCTGCATGTCCAGTTCTGGGGTCAGTCTGTCTCAATGTCAAGTGTGAGCATAGACGCATTTGGTTGGACCTTAAACATCACTATGTAAACATTCTTTCTGTTTCCTTTAGTAGTCTGTTCTTTTTAGTGAGGTTCTGGCTTATTTTCTTTTTGCCATTTATGCAAGTGATTTAAAAAAAAAGTTTGCTGAGTAATGACCCCATGAGAGCATTAGAATGGGAGTCTGGATTTCTTTTCTTTTTTTTTTAATTAAAGATTTATTTATTTATGCATACAAGAACTGGAGTACAGGCCAGAGATGTGGTGGGAGGCGGGGTGAGAAGATTCACCAGAGACAGAGTGGGAACCAGAACAGGCAGATTGACTGAAATACACTGCTGAGGGGAGCAGCGGGCGAGACAGGATAGGTCTGCTGCACCATGTGGGTCACCTCCCTTGCTGGCCGGGGATCGAACTCGTGCTGCACAGGCTGCAGACAGCTTCATAGTGCTGTGCTTAACCCCTTACGCCACCACCAGGGAGGCCCCAAGTCTGGATTTTTGTTTGTGATATCTGGCTTTCTTACCAAATACCTAGGCAAGTCATCCTTCCTGGAGAAATGATTATAATTTGGGGTGTCTTGCTCGATGATTCGCCAAATGTCTTCCAGCTCCACTTATTTGTGACTCTTATATTTGATGCTCATGTGAGAGTAATGTCAGTTCTTCATGACATCCGTGGGCTGCCAGTTTTGTTTTAAATGAAAGAGCCTCAGCAACCGCATCGTATATCAGCAATTTCAGAGAAACATAAATATTTAAACTTTCAAGGCAAAGAGAATGTAATGACTACAGGCTGTTGTTTTAATCCTGATGATAATTTGTTTTCAGTGGGGAGGGGATGTTCATTGAATCCACATTTTGTTTTTTCTTGGAATTATATTCTTGAGCCACCTTTTTTTCTTGAATACTGTTTATTTCTATCTGTTCCACCTGCCTGTTATTTATTTATTTTTCTCTTCTGAAAAATTTAAAAAGTTAATGAGGAGCAAGTTTTCAAATTCCCCTGAGTCAAGAGTATCTGTATTCATTCTCTCTGTTGTACAGGGTAACATGGATTATAAAGCCGGTGGATCACTTCTTATGATCTGATACATTTTATACAGATGCTGCATTTCATGGGGCTAACCATGTTCTGTTATACAATGATCTAATTCAATGCCAAGACATTTCAAGAATGTTATACAGACAGTACCCTGGCAAGAAGAATTTCTCCTTGATTGGAGTGAGCCAATAAAATCAAAGTTAGACATAATAAGCAAGATACATTGGCTTAGTTGGTAACAGGAAATGAACAGTGAATGGTTTCCTTTGTGAGTCCACAGTGATCAGATAATTCTATTGTCTCTTTCTTGCTATGATGTTTATTGGTAGTTATCTACAACAAGAAGCTTAACCTTAAGCACTGTGATAGCTCAGAGAGCTGCCAGAGTACATTCAAAGCATATAAAGAAAAGGGTGTTGGATGAAGATACTCCTGCCTGGTGTACTGAAAACCCAAGCCATCTGATAGACTGCTGGTTTGATTCTTCTCCATTTGGATAAATTTGAGAACTCCCATAATTTTGAGAAGTAAAGTTGAGATTCTCAAGTTCCTGTCCTAAGATCAAACAAGGACCCATTTCCACGTGGATGTTTTACTTTTAACTTGGAGGAAATTTGTGAAAGTTCAAATTGCTCATTGCACCTGCCCATTATATCCATTCTCTACTAAAAATTTCTTTTTTTTTTTTTAAAGATTTATTTATTTATTTATACAAGCACTAGGTACAGTCAGAAGTGCAGGAGGGTGAGAGAATTCACCAGAGCCAGAGTGGGGAGCAGAACAGACAGACGAAATACACTGCTGAGGGGAATAGTGGGTACTGCAGGAGAGGTCTGCGTGTCATGTGGGACCCTCACCCAGAGGCCGGGAATCGAACCGGCACTACAGAGGCTGCGGGCAGCTTCACAGCCCAGCGCTCAACCGCTGCGCCACCAGGGGAGGCCCTACTAAAAATTTCTATTGTCACATTAGTTTCACTCACCCCATTTGGCAGTTGAGAGTTACCAACTCTTGTTTAGGAGCTGCTTTCTTGTTGACTATTTCATTGTCAAGACAAAGTTGATAGTGTACTCTGTAAAGCTTTCGCAAGTGGGGCTGGCTCCATACTGAGAATAGCGCATTCATGGGCTACTTGATCTGAACATGTTTTCTGTACAACTAACATGATACCTGTACACACTATACAAAATCATTGCTAGATTTTAGTTTCAATTGTGTTAACAATGCAAACACATCTTGAAGTAGAGCTTAGCATACATTTTGAAATAGAGGCTAGTCCGAAAGTTACTTTCTGCCTCTAAAAATTAACAGCAATTAGCATCTTTATCTGCTTTAGCCCTCAACCCCCTCTCTCTCCTAGACCATGCCAGGCAGCTACAAAACTGTCTCACAGCACTGATCTGTGAGACATAAATACTGAAGTTGCAAAAACAACACAAAATCATTAAAGTTGACGCTTTCAAGCCTGAGGAATTACAACCAACTTGAAACTTTTCTGCAATTTTCATGCGAATTGTGATACAAAGAAAGAGCAAGTCCTTGATAAGATGCTATAAACCAGTGTACCATCTACCCTGGCTGGGAAGGTAGAGGAAATGCATTGAAAGAAGCAGAGAAAGAGGATGATGGAGAAAATCCAGCCAGCATAATAAAGTGAACATGAATCACACATTATCTTTACATTCAAATAAAACTCTCAGTGTGAGCTCATCCACCTTTAATCAGCCAAAAGTTTGATAGTCCAAAAGCCCCAGTTAAATTGCTGCCAAAAGAAAGTGGGTGAATTCAATCAACAATTGAAATCAGATTTCATGCCCAGAAGGTGTTTCATCCACACAGCTCGGTCTCTTGCTGAATAAAGATTTCTGGTGTCTCTGTGTCTACCACAGTTAGCTGATGCACATTACAAAAGCCAAGTTTTGGCAGACACTTTAACTGTGTTTTCCTTAGCAACATTTTATACACCAGAGCAGTGATTTTGAGGTCTGTATAAAAATGTCTATAAATAAATATATGATTAAATTTTGCCCTTAAATGCTCAGACTGAACTCAAGTTGAAGTACTTTCAGATGGGGAAACCACAGGAATTTGGTCAGGATATGCTCAAAGGAAAATGGCAAAGCTCAGGCTTGTGTCTTTCAGGACATTTGGACTAAAGAAGATCAGGGAGGACAAGGCCATACATTGTGAGTAATTGGGAGAACTTAATCACATCTCAACATGCACTCTAGTTCATGGCCCCACAGGCTGCCTTTCAAATGCTATGTTAATATGCAGAGGCAAAGCAGCAAGGCAATTTGGGGTGTGAAAGAAAGCCATGTCACACAGACTGTGCTGTCCTGTATGTGTTCAAAAGGTTCTAGTAGAGATATGATATGTTTTAGCCTTGTGAAAATATTTAATTCAGCAAGGAATGGCTTATTAAGTAATTTCTAAAGCATGTTTTACTAGGATGTCTTTACCAGAAGACATAGATTTGGGGATTAAAAATTTTAAATTGGTTTTATAGAATCTGACTCAGGAAATTATTTTCTAAAAATAATTGAATCGTAAAATTGAATGTGTTCCCAGTGGGATGCAATTAGCAAAATGTAGAAGGTTGAAAAATGTTACAAAACAAATGGCTCATTGTTCTCTGTAAAAATATTAAAATAGAGGGAGGGGAAGGATCCATACTGTACTGCGAGAAACTTAAGATATTTATCAGCCTATTTTAATATATTGACCTCATTTGGAATTTGATTCATATAAACCAAAACATAAAGTTGCATCTCATTTATCAGGAAATTTAGAAAATATGATAGGGTATTAATAACATCAAAGAATTAATTTTATTCAAGCATGATGATGTCTAAAACCAATAATTAGAATCATTTGGCGGTCCATACTTATATCTTTGCAAAAAAAAAAATTAGTGAATGCGTTGGACTCAGATTTTTGCTCTTGGTAATAAAGTCAATGGAAAACTTTTTAAATAGCAGGGTTCTTGACTACTTAGTCTTTACCTAATTTAGGGTATTTAAAGCAATTCCTGTCTAAAGAACAATGAGGCATTTTTAGTTTCTTGGTGTTTACAAATAACTATAGTCACTGAAAAATAATCCTTAGCACCAAGAGAATGCACAAAAGAACCACATATGCAGTCTGCAGAAGAAAATCCATGTATTCCTACTTTGATGCAAAACAAAGTCAGAATATTTCCAAGGTGGCCTATTTTCCATTTATGCCTATTTCCTGTCACAATTAAGTGCATTCAGAATTTTCTCTCTTCTTTGAAGAAATGCCCATCAATGACCCTTTCTCACTTCTGGGCCATTGTGTAGGGAATCCAGCTGGCTCTGTGTCTGGAGACAGCAGGGTGTGGGTCATGATCAGGATTAGGCTGCCCAGCAATATCTGTGGTTATGCCACCTCTCCTAACTCTTGACTGGGTTAGAGACTCAAGTCAGTTTACAATTCCAGATGGTCAGCAAATTGCATGTTCTGTCTATCTCATGCTCCCTCATTCGATTTCCAAATTGTATCTCTGGGGTAATATAATGTGCATATAGTGTAGGTGCATGGGATTAACTTTAAAGGGTTAATTGCGGAAGAGTTCAAAGGGGATATCCCTAGAAGAAACCAAATAAGAGTAGCAGAGCAAAGGGAAGCTCACCAGAATAGGCTTCCCTGAGAAAAATAACAACAAACAACAAAACAAAAACCAGTCTCAGGCCATGGCAGCTGGGAACCAAGCAGATGACATGCTGGCAGAAGAGTTCAGCAAGTAGCTGAACTTATGGATGCAAAGTGGAAAAAAAAAAAAAAAAGACTTGGGAACCAGACAGAGAGGACTGCAAATGGGGTGGAAAATCAGTTGGAATTGGGGACTTGAGAGTGAGAGGTTAGTAAGTGGTGATAGTTAAATACAGATAAAACTTGGATCCGGGCCTCCCCTGGTGGCACTGCGGTTGAGCTCTGGGTTGTGAAGCTGCCCGCAGCCTTTGCAGCGCTGGTTCGATCCGCGGCCACTGGTGAGGGTCCCATATAGCACGCAGATCTCTCCTGCTGTGCCCGCTGCTCCCCTCAGCAGTGTACTTCATCAGTCTGCCTGTTCTGTTCCCCGCTCTGGCTCTGGTGAATTCTCTCACCCTCCCGTGCTTCTGACTGTACCCAGTGCTTGTATAAATAAATAAATAAATCTTAAAAAAAAAAAAAAAGTGACCATTTGAAAAAAACAAACAAACAAACAAACTTGGATCCATTCCTTCCTGCCTTCCATAAAGATTATGGAGTACTTCCTGGGCACTGTACTCTCCTCTGGGTGCTACAGATGCGGTGATGAACAGGCAATAGTTACCTTTAGCTTACTACTTGTGGACGTCTATCAATTCTCTTGCAGGAATGAAGGCTTACTCTAGACATGCATGCTTGATATGAAGAAACTAAGCAAATGGTACATGTACTGTTTGTAGCTAAATGGGCACATACTCAATGAAATGCTGAGAGCCTCCTCTCCCCAGATCTGGACATAACTCGTCAGTTAACTCAGGCTCAGCCCATGCCCGTGACAGAAAGTGAAAGTCAGTGATTCTAAATCCAGAGGAGGAGTTGCAGATAATGAATCAGAATGTTTTCCTTTCCTTTCCTTTCTTTTGATCCTTCTCTTCCTTCTTTATTTTTTCATGAAAATGAAGTGTCAACCTCTTGAATGCTCTCTGGATTTAAAAAAATCCAGGCACAGAGAAGTACAGCAGAGACCAAAGGCAAGGGAGAGGCGTAGAAGCTGAAGTCGAGCTGCACATCATATGTGTTTTAATCAGGAATCCCCATGGAATTTGTTAGGAAATGAAGAATATGGCTTCTGAGTTCCCTGAAGGAAGCAGATACTTCTCTGTGGTTATAGTACTTGATTCCCAGGGACCTACCACATTTTCTGATACATATTAGTAAATATTTATTGAATGCCTGAATGGCGGTGACAAAGAGTTTACGATGTCAAAATAAATGAAATGTATGAAAATGGTCAACCTTGAAATCTTGCCTTCCTTAATCATGTCCTATAGTCTGAATGTCCTCTTCTCTAGCAACTCATGCTTGTTGGCTTCTCAGTCTTTGAAGATACATTAAAGTAGATAGAGACTTATTTATCCAAGACACCAGCTAAAACAGGATCATAAATTTTGCATGCATTGTCTATCAGTAGTTAGTGTTTTATACATAGTTGAAATATTGAATCGAGAAACATTCCTTTCCCTCAATAATAATAATTCAAAAATAAATCCAATGAGCATCGTGCCAACTCTCATTTATTCAATTCTGGTTATCTGATGAGAGAGA